AAAGAGGACGGGCAGCGCGTGTACCAAATTTCAAATTCAAGAATAGAGCAGCTGGCATGAACTGGCGCGCCAGGTAAAGCGCAGTCAATCAAGCACTAGACCACCTTTCAGCAGCACCTCAGAAGCGACTCAAAACTCACCGCTGCCTCCCGCGAAGTCTCTGGGGTAGCACCGCTTCTGGTCCCGCCATCATAAGCCAATGCCAGAGGGTCGGAGAGAGCTGCGTCCGCCCCCTTGCGCTTCGCCTTCTTCGCCGCAGCAGATGAAGCAGCAGCAGCAGCAGCAGGCTGTCGTTTCCCGCGTTTCGATGCTCTCTCTCGGATGCCTTCAACGTGCTCTCTACCCTTTTCGAGGAGCTCAACTTCATCAGCAACCACAGATTGCACGGGTTTTCCAGCTGCCTCGGTGGTACCCTTTCTCAACAGCTGGCTGATTAGCAGTATCCCGCGGCTGTGCTTCTTCCGCTGCTGTCTCACTACCCTCTCTTCCACTCGGATTTCGATTGTGCGGTCTGCCTGCATGAGGCTGCCTCGAGCCACGGCCAGGCCCAAGTTGGGACGGCCGTCCTAGAACGATATTAGGTCTGATGACCTCGAGAGTGGCGTCCCTGTATGTTATTCGACCAAGCGGAGTCGATTGCCGTAGAGAACGGGGCTTGAGTCGGCGATGTTTGGGGTGAAACAGGATGCGCTTGTTCGGGCACATCTCTCCCGTGCAAACAGTGTTGCCGCAGACAGCGAGCAGTGTTCAAACGAGTAAAGAAGAGACGGCCAAACACCGTCAAGACCTTCAAAAGGCACTTTCCAAAGCTTTCAAGATTACCACCTTTTCGCTAGCTCAATGTGAAGAAGTACTGCAATTGTGTACGAAATACCGTTCAGTTTTCTCATTAACGCCTGACGAGCTAGGTAGATGTACTCTTGCGGAAGCTGATTTTCCCCTCAAACCAGGTACAAAACCTGTCAATAGGGCTCCGTACCGCGCAAACCCACGCGTGCAAGAGGTGATCGACAAATGCGTTCACGAAATGGAACAAGCGGGAATTGTTGAACAACGACCAAGCCCGTGGGGATCAGCTGTAACGTTGGTAGCACAAGCTGAAGGTGTTGGTATGCCCTTGTTGTGTGACCTCCAGAGTCCAAAGAGTGTTGTTAACGGCATGTATTATCGTAGGGGGACATGAGGGAGAAGGAGGGAGGAAGAGTGCCAGGCCCAAAGCCAGTTGAAAAGGGAGCCCGCAACTCGTATCTCAAGGTCTCTCCTAGCCGCCCCTCAAGGCAATCCCATCTGCGGTACACGAAACCGCCAGTGATTTGGTACAATCCGACTAATCTACCTCCACGCACGAACACCCTCCCTTGGTTCTTTACGCCAGTGAATAACCACCACTCGTGCGTCGAAGAGTACATCCGAAAAGCACCTAAAACAACGCAAATCAGAAACAAGGGGAAACCCGCCATCGGATCAAAACCCCTTACAAATCTCAACGCCTTCCCGCCGTTCATATCATGAAAGATTCCAACGGCCGTACTGCAACATCAAGGCAAGACAATATCTACCACCGCCCCCGACTCACTCTCTACGCCACGCTCGGCTGACTCGACAAGGTCCTCCCTGCGCAGCACAAAAACAAATCATCAAAAGTAATGTCCTTACCACGGGATCACGCACAACGCTCCTGCTGCTGCTTCTCACCACAGCTGAACTCTGAAGATCATCGGGCTTCTCCGGAGTATGCATTCTAGAATGTTGGTATGCCCTTGTTATGTGACCTCCAGAGTCCAAAGAGTGTTGTTAACGGCATGTATTATCGTAGGGGGACATGAGGGAGAAGGAGGGAGGAAGAGTGCCAGGCCCAAAGCCAGTCGAAAAGGGGGCCCGCAACTCGTATCTCAAGGTCTCTCCTAGCCGCCCCTCAAGGCAATCCCATCTGCGGCACACGAAACCGCCAGTGATTTGGTACAATCCGACTAATCTACCTCCACGCACGAACAGACGGCTCTCCCCGGTTCTGTGTAGACTACAGAGCCACGATCAGTAAAAAAATGATTTGGAAATCATGGCCGATGCCAGAAATGGCTAGCCACATTGATACAGTAGCAGGTGCAAAATTCACTACTGTATGCGACGTACAAAGCGCGTACCACCAAATACCAATGGCCGAAGAAGAACGAGACAAAACGGCATTCGTAACACGACATGGGAAATGGGTTTTCAAAAGACTTCCCTTCGGGATTGCGAACGCTCCCTTCCTCTTTCAACGTACAATGGCGTTGGCGTTTGCACATTTTGGCCCCAAATCCGGGCTCCTGGTGTACATGGATGACTTAATCTGTTCATCGACATGGGAGGGACACTTAAAACTGTTGGAAAACACGTTCCAAGCTTTGCAAGCAGCAGGGCTCACCTTGAAATCATCCAAAGTACAATTCGGACCACAAGATGTGAAATACTTGGGACACATTCTCTCATCAGATGGAATACGTCTTGGTGAGGATCGGATAAAAGCGATACTAGATATACCAACGCCAACAAACATCGAAGAGCTACGATCAGTGCTGGGGACAGTCAACTATGTGCAGAAGTTTATTCCAAACTTGGCGACAGTCACCGCACCCCTGGTTGACCTCACGAAAAAAGAGGCAATGAAGTCAGTGGCAAAACGTTGGGGAACGGAGCACGATAAAGCGTTTGCGGAAGTAAAGAAATTGCTCACCGCAGCTCCTGTGTTAAACTTTCCGGACTTTTCTAAAGAATTTTGTCATTCATGTCGATGCTTCTAATGTTGGTACAGGAGCATTCCTAGCCCAACANGAAGAGCTACGATCAGTGCTGGGGACAGTCAACTATGTGCAGAAGTTTATTCCAAACTTGGCGACAGTCACCGCACCCCTGGTTGACCTCACGAAAAAAGAGGCAATGAAGTCAGTGGCAAAACGTTGGGGAACGGAGCACGATAAAGCGTTTGCGGAAGTAAAGAAATTGCTCACCGCAGCTCCTGTGTTAAACTTTCCGGACTTTTCTAAAGAATTTTGTCATTCATGTCGATGCTTCTAATGTTGGTACAGGAGCATTCCTAGCCCAACAAGATGGTGACGACCTGAAGATCATAGCATACTTTAGTCAGCGTTTCAACAATAGCCAACTGCACTACTCAGCAACCATGAAAGAATGTTACGGTGTTGTTCTAGCAATTCAACATTGGCGCCATTATCTGTGGGGCAGACATTTTACGTGCGTAGCTGATCATGCCGCGTTGCGTTATTTCTTCACGATGCAAGACACGTCAAAAATGCTCACACCCTGGGCGATAGCGCTGCAATCATTCGACTTCACGGTAAAACATAAACCAGGAAAGTTGCATGTAGTGCCTGGCACGTTATCGCGTCTCTTTGTGTTTGAAAAAGACCAAGAACGCGAAACACCAACTCTTGCTCCGATCTGCCGTAACGTACCGGAAAACCCCGAGTTGCAAATTGCCACGCCCAGCAGATCCTACGACCTGTCACCAGACAAGCTTGATAGTGTACAACCTGTGACTAGCGACCGCGAGTTGTTTACTGTCAGTGCTTCGTTCGCCAGTGCGACAGAAGTGTTTGAATCTGTTGATCGTGACAAACTACGCGCGAAACAAGCCGAAGATAATGGCGAGTACATCGAATACATAACGAACAAAAAAGCACCGCTCCCTGAANTAACGTACCGGAAAACCCCGAGTTGCAAATTGCCACGCCCAGCAGATCCTACGACCTGTCACCAGACAAGCTTGATAGTGTACAACCTGTGACTAGCGACCGCGAGTTGTTTACTGTCAGTGCTTCGTTCGCCAGTGCGACAGAAGTGTTTGAATCTGTTGATCGTGACAAACTACGCGCGAAACAAGCCGAAGATAATGGCGAGTACATCGAATACATAACGAACAAAAAAGCACCGCTCCCTGAACACGAAACGGCAACAACAATGTCGTACTATTCCGTACAAATGGGTCTCTTGTTCATGTCGTATTTGCCAGGACACCTTCGGAAAAGGAGTACATTTCGGGATCAGCTAGTGTTGCCACATGCCTTAACGGCTTTGGTGATGCATGCTTATCATGATCATGCCCTTTCGGGAGGACAACTCGCTTACCGACCAACGCACGAAAAAAATCGTCAAAAATACTGGTGGAAATCTATGAACCGTGACATCCGAACTTGGTGTGAAGAGTGCCAAGCTTGTCAGCGTAGAAAAACGGC